GCTTAAAAAAATTCCCACTGAAGCATTTCTTTAAAACAGTTCTTATGGGAGCCAGCAGACTCAGGGCAGGTTAGAAGAAAGATCTGGATTCCAAAATTCTACTCCTTAGTCATTAAGCCCTAAACTTCTGTGCCTCAGTTTCTTCCATATAACAGGTGAACATATTAATACCTTCTCTGACATGGATTGGTCTGTGAAGATCAAATGGAACATACAACATGCATTAGAAAAAGAGCAAATGCAATTCAGTGCAAGTAGTATATCTGGACCTACTACTAGTACTGAAATACTTAATAAGATCAGTCAAAAGCATGAGATGTCGGTCTTGGGCTGGAAATCATTACCAAGAATCATCAGATATGAAATGATTACATAGGTGTCAAAATGGGAAGCTGTAATATTTATGCAAACATGGCCATATTACTTTTATATCTGATCACAAGTCCACAAAGTGATGTGGAATTTAGAAGCACCAGTTCTGGGGTATCACGTGGCCTGAGTGTGAATCCCATTTCTGAGGAACTACAAGTGAGTTCCTTAACTTCTTTGGCAGTTGGCTTCCAAGATGGTCCCAAGGAGCTACACCCCTAGTATCTATGCCCTTATGTGAGGCCCTCTCATGCTGTGACAGGCTTGGTTTGTGGCCAATAGAAACGTAGCAGGAGTGATGGCACAGCCCTTCGGAGGCTAGGTCCTAAAGGCTCTGCAGCTTGCCACTTGATTGCTCTCTTGAATCATTCATTCTGAGGTTGGCTGCGCACACTAAGGACCATGGATCCTCCCCTCTAAGCGGCACCGGCGCCTTATGGGAAGGCCCAGCTGGTGGGGAACTGAAGCCTCTGGCTAACAGCCACATGAAACAGCTTGGAAGTGGACCCATCAGCCCCAGTCAAGCTTTAGGATGACATCTCAACCACACCCACGTGACAGACCTTGAGCCAGAACCACCCACTTAAGCCACTGTCAAATTCCTTATCCACACAAACTTGGGGTAACAAATATTTATTGTTTTCAGTTTTGAAGTAATTCATTATGCAGTAATAAATAACTAAAACGCTTTCTCAGAGTTTCTGTAAATCTTCTGTGAAAATGGAGTGATACTAGTACCTCTCTTAAAGGGTTGTTAAGGATCAATTGAGAAGTACATTGAAAGCCCCCAGCCCAGCATCTGGCATAGAGCAATACATGCTGGCTCTCGTTACACCCTGGCATACCTTCTCTTCCACAGCAAGGTGTTGCTGCACGAATTTATAGTCATGTTCCCCATAGGCCTCAACTTCCCCGTAAGTCATGAAATTCCAAGTACGCTGATCCAGCTCCCACCAGGCCCTTTCTGTCATCTTTCTCTAACCATCAGTGGGGTGAGCAGTCTTCCCTTTTTCTTTCTTTAGGATGAGGGGCAAGATATCTAAGCAAGAGAAACTTAAAATACATGGTCTGGCTTGGGAACCAAAGCCAAAATAGCTGGCCTGAAACAACCAACACACTGACCTCCAGCACTGGACCAAGGCTGACAAGAGTTAAGTGAGCCAGCCGGAGGCCACTCGAGCTTCAGCTTCGACAGAGCTCGTGGTTTAGATACTGTCCTCTGAAATATACAAAGCCTCCATTCAGGCTCACTTCTGTGCTTTTAAACCTGAAATAGATCCTAGACTCCCTCAAGCAAACTTCATAGGTGTGGTCTTTTCTTTCTCTGATTATTTCTGTCCCCTTCACATTTGGGTTTTCTTCTGTTACGCATGGATGGGTGCAGTCAAATTTCCTATGCGCTGAAAGAAGATACTGAGAAAATTTACTACTAAAGCGGTGAAAAGAACAGATATGTTTCTATCCCATAATAAAACTCAGTAATAAAACTATTGGACAAATAACAAGGCTCAATAATAAAACGATCAGACAAATATTTAAAAAGCACAGCCTCCAATATAATATAAAGGAGGAAATAAAAGGATCACACATTCAGAGTGAGGGTTTCACTACCACTAAGCCCTAAGGGTTTCTAAAATTCCACTGGGTGGACAGTATTTTTATATATATTTACTGCTGATTCTCTGGGAAACTGAATGTTTAATATGAAATATCCTTCTATATTTGAGAGATTTAAAGCAACACCATCTTTTATTATATATACAGAATAAGGTGATCTTTTCATTCTGCTGGGTGAAATGCATAATTCCTGACTTCAAGGGGTTTTTATTCTAAAAAAAAAGCACCAATAATGTTAAGTATGAGCCTCTCCCACTCTTCTTCCTTCTCTCCTTTTCTCTCCCTCTCTCCCCCTCTGGGTGTGTCTAGTTCTGCTGAAATCGTGTTTCATAGGAAACACTTGGCCTCTTAAACCAACCTCTCAGGGGATGGACTTGGTTTCGCTCATTTCTCCCTCCTCTCTTTTTGGCTGTTTATTTCTCTGCTTTCCACTTAGTCAAGGGCTTTGTTTTGTTTTGTTTCCCTATCAAAATCTTCCTTCCCCTCTTCCTCCTTTCTTCCTCTTCTTGTTTTTTTTCCCCCTTTCCTTTCCATTCATAGTTCCTCTCGACCCCTCTCTTCATTTCTTCCTTCCCAGTATTTGTTTGACTTTAAACCTAGGTTGTTGACAACATTGAGGACGTTCCTTAGATGATGAATCCTGTCCCTGACTGTGGGACAGCCCAGGAAAGGTCCTGCTGACCTCGTGAAAATGCTGAGACCCTGAGCTTTTATCTCTGTCCTTCCTGATAAGGCAGGAGTTGAAACAAGGGGTTTTCCCTTTTCTCCTCAAACATACACCATGCCAATTAATAAATATGAGAAGAGAAATAAGTTGGGTGTGTACATGTAAATAAAGCTCACAATGAAACCACATATCTACCCAGCTGGCCAAGGGACACCCTTCGCCAACCACCCCCTACCCTGTTTTCAATGATCAAAGTCTAATCATTTACATTTCTGGGGAGCTCAATGGCCCCCAAATTCTGCTCTGCACTGTCAGGCTCTAGGGATACTTCCCTTGCTTCTCCTCTAGCCTTGCCCCATTTCCATCTACCTTCCCACTGTCATGCCCAACAATGCAGACATGCTCAGAGTTCTAAAGCAGATCTCCCTCACCTACAAGTTATAGTCACACTCCTTTTCCCACTGCTCCCCTCCTCTCCTTCTATGATACCAGCTTAGAGGACGTGCTCTTGTGTCTCTGTGTTGACTCACAGCCACTCATGTCTTCTGAAACTGATATTAACTATCCATGCCTCCCCACCAAAGAAACCTCCTGTAAGAAGTCTTCCTGACTTTCCCAGAAGTGATCCTTCCAACCCTCAAGGAAGTTTGTCTAAACCTCTCCAAATTATCTTATTGCACCCTACCAGGCAGATGGAGACACATGAATCTTAACTCCCCATCAAGAGAAACATTCTTGACATATTTGTTCAAATTTCATCTGCAGAAAAGACTAGGTGTGGTTCAAGGGAAATGGCAAAACAGCCCCTCCTCAGTCTGTGCACCCCACCCAGAAAAACAAAATCCTTGCAGTCAACTTGAGGAAACCCTAGGGAAGGCAGGGGCTCCTTAGTCTGATTAGCTGCCCATCTCGAGGGGCTTGCAAAACTCAGCATTCCTTTCAACTTTCCTTAATGCGAGTCCTGAAAATGACAGTTTTATGCATTCTTGAAGTGATTCTGTGGTGCCTCCTTGATGTAGAGACAAACGTCTATCCAGGTTACTTTGATTTGTTTAGTTGTGTGTTTCTCAGTCACTATAAGCTTCTTGAGGTCAAGGATCTTTATAATTGTTAAGTTTAGTCTTCCCATTTATAGCAATGTGCACAATGCCTGTAACATGTAAGCCATGTGAGAGAAGATAGTGTGTGGTTGTTTAAAGATACAAAGTATAACTTTATGAAAAGTTCCATTTTAACACCTTACAACAAAGGGTCAATATACTGACCTGATGCCTGCTATTTAATAGTCTAAAACGGTGGTAACCATTGCTTGCCTAAGTAACTAAAATCATTATCAAGAGGTCAACCCACTCAGTTATTTAGCCTTTGGCCCCTTTGCCTTGGCCCTGAAAAGTGAGGGCAAACATGATTTTTCAGCTCTACAAACTAATTCTGATCTGTCGCTTTGAAATCTGGTTAATACCCTTTAATATGTTAGCATTGTCTACCTATTTCCTGGTTGTAGACCATCCAGACAGAATATGTCAATTGGCTGACTTGCGTGTGACACTGAAATTGAAAGTATACATTTAAAAGGAAAGTCAGGCCAGAGGAAAGTCAAACTAGTTATTGTCACTTGCAAGCAATTTTGTGTATTCTATTAAAGGAATGTCTTAAGAGCCAGGGCTAAAGAGGAAGTCAGGCAAGCCAAAAGAAATGAAGGGGTCTTTAAATGAAAGAATCCACCAACACATGAGTGATTGCTCCTCCCTCTGAATATGACCAGGTGCACCAGCTTCATGATTTAGCTCTGCAGTACTTTTTCAAGTGGTCCAATGGTTGTTTCCCTGCACCCCAACTCACCAGCTGGTGAATTCCCATCATCAGTTGAATTCCCTCAGTTCCCTGTGAACTGTCTTTTCTCAAAAGTGTATTTTAGAGCTTTAAAATATTTTTTTGCCCAACATGTAAGACGTCCTTACTACTGTTTGGGGTCCTTAAGCACTGTGAAGATCACAACCAGGAAAAAGAAAGTTTATTATTATTGTTATTACTTAATTTAAATAAAAAATGTATTAAATTTAAATTTGATAGAAGAAAATTCTAAGAGTTTCCCCTCATTTGATTAGTATGTACGTGTTCTACCTGACAAAGCATGGCAGCGTCAGTGCCGGCGGCGGCCTGAACCCTGGAGACCCCACAGAGTGACTCTAGGCGGCCGTGCACTGGAAGCAGCGCTAACTCCGGGGAAACGCGACGACAGCCTTGCGCACCGGTCCAGCCCCCAGAAAAATCCCTGGTTCCCAGGGTGGCAGGACAGAACCTGGCCTCCAACTGTCTTATCTTTCTTCAGGTGTTTCAGACTTACTGCCTCTGGTCAGCAGAACCACGGGCACGGTGATGACGGTGACGAGCGCAGCAGCCCCCAGCAGTCCCACGAGCACCTTCCACAGAGTCTGCAAGCGGGTCAGATGAGCGTCCAGTTAGGACGGGCCGTTTGGCCCCCGTCTGGGTGGGAGAGCCCGGCCTGGGCTGCCCCGGGGGCGCGCGCTGGGCTGGGAGCGTTTGGTGTGCGCTAGTCAAAGGTTGCAAGTGCGGCTGCCTTTGAACTTGCGGCCTCTGAGCACATTAGTTTTTGCTTCTCTATGCCTGCCCGGCAGAAGCCATAGGAGGGTCCAGGTGTGCGTTTGTGGGTGACTCTCCGGGCCCTCCCAGGATCAGCACCTGGCTGCTAGCAGAAACCCCGTGGGTCTGGGAGCGAGGCGACAGCTCTGGGACGTCCCCCCACCTGCCAGAGGGTGACCCTGAAGCTCCCGCCTGGTAGGAGCCTCTGGTCCCGTTCCGCGAGCCTTTGGGTCAGTTTGGGGAGAATGTGGCGCAGAGGCACCCGGGAGTTGGCGAGGTGGGAGGCGCGCGGAGCACTCACCTTCATGGTCGGCCGTCTCCGCGGAACTGAGCCTGGGCAGCAGGGGCGCAGGCAGGAGGCCGGCGAGCCGCGGGTCCTGCTCGGCTGCCGCGGGCCGCGCAGGCACTGGGCGCTCCCAAGTTTCGGTCCGAGTTAAACATTAGTGAGCGCCCGGCCCGCTCGGTGCCAAGGGCCGCGCGCAGGCTGCGGGAGAAGGCGGCCGGGCGCCGGGCACTGGCATCCCGACCGGGCGGCGCCCCAGAGGCGCCTCCCCGCGGGCTGTGCGGGGCGCATGGGCCCCGGGGTTGCCCCGGAGGGGCGGTGAGAGCCCGGACCGCGCTGAGCTGGCCCCGGGCACCCGACGCCGGGACCCGAGGCTGCCGACCAGCCGACCGGGTCAGCCTGGGCTGAAAGGCTATGACGCTCAGCTCCTGCAGCCCCTCGTGGACAGGCAAAAGACCCGAGCCCAGAGGGGGGCATGGGGCTCCGCAAACACACACAGGTCACTGCTGGCAGCTGGAACTAAAACCCAGATCCTCTGTCTGTGCCAGTGAAAGATATGCTGGGGAATAGTGGGGTTTTTAAAGCTTCTGAAGGCAAAGAAGAAATGGTGATTATTCTCTTGTGAATGACACTTAGAGGCGAAGTATCTGGATTCACCCTCTGCAGGGAAATTCCAGCTTGTTTTGCAGACTTACCTTACATTAAGTTGCCAAAAATAGTAACATTAACACTTACATGGAACTTTTTTTTTTCCAGCAGCTGCCCTCAGCGTTTGCTGTGTTTGTTTTACAGGAAGGAAGCCTAGGCACAGAGAACTTAAATCACTTGGCCAAATTCCAGCTAGGAAACAGTGGAGCCTGAATTCAGAGTCCATGTTCTTAACCGCTACTCCACAGGGCCACTCATCTTTCAGTCTTGAGAAGAGGATTTGCAGAAGGGATAAGGGCCAAGTGTGTCTTCTCCTTCCCCAAGTTTCCACGAGGCCCCTGGGCTTCTTCTTCATCCATGCATGCCCACATCCTCCCATTTATTCCAACCATTCCCTAATGTTTGCGTGGCTTCCAAGTGCCACGCTCTCCTAGATGCTGGAGGGAGAGCAGTGGGACAAGACTCTCAGGAGGTCTGTGCCCTCGGCACTTTCAGTATAAAACACACAGGCAGGCGTTTGTCTTTAGGGCCCCTCCATGCCTGCCCGTCTGCTGAGGATGAGCATTCTTTCCCCCTGCAAGGCCTCCTCAGCTTGTTCGCTGCAGCCAGAAAGCAAAGCCATTCTGTTCACAGGTAGAGGTAAAAGATTAAAAATGGAAGTCCTGTGGGGCACTGACCTGTGATTAGGAATGAGGTTCCCACCCTTTGCCTCCAAGCCGAACTTTTCCCCTGAACTCCAGGAGCTCTTCCGCTCTTGACTACTAGTTGCTCATGATACACACACTCACCCGCGCCTGCCTCCACAGGCTCCTCAAACTGAGCTCTTGATCTCCTCCACCAACCCCGCCCCACCCACCTTAGATCATCTTATCTTCATTAGAAGTGTCCCTGTTCACCATTTACAAAAACCATGAACTTCAGTCATCTCAGTTTCTCCTCTCCACTCTGTATGGTACCCTCAGCAACCCCAGGGGGATGACCTGTGAAACAGACCATCTTGTTCTCTGGAGGGCATTCCATGAAACACAAATAACCTCTTTAAAAAAAAATTTAAGTATAGTTGATATACAATCTTATATTCGTTGTCACAGCGGTTCAACAGTTTCTCATGTTATTAAACCCTCAGCCCCACTACTGCAGTTACTATTGAGACACAATTATCTTCACACTCTGCCCTCTTCAAGAGATTCTTTCACACATCTTCCCCTGACCCCAACCTCTTTGTCACCAGTTGTTCGATCTTGATTTTTTTCCAAGTCCCTAAGGAACCAGCTGGCCGACACATTAGCTGCCACCAATGAGTCAGTGTAGATCTTGGATCATGCCATCTCTCTTTGCATGCAAAATGGAAAAAAACAGATGTACTACTCGAAGCTCTGTCTGTTTGGGAAGATTTCTCTTTCTACTTCTGGGTTCTTCGATTTTGAATTCTTTTCTTTCCACTCTACTTCCTCTATTTCAAATTCTTCTCTTTCTGTATTTCAGGACATCCTTGAGAGGGGCTGTGACCCAGCAGCCATCTACTTCGGACTGGACTAGTATCAGCTTAATTTGCATAAGACTGACTATTTTCCCCCCTCTGTTGCCTGGTTACAGAGAGCTGTCCATGAAGCAGTAGGTTGAAGGAGACACATAAAGTAGTGGGAGAAGGCACCATGGAGTCTAAGTTCTTTGCTCATGTGATTTTCTTGTGTGTTCTGGACCCCTTGTGCTCATTTGCTAAATCTTACAGACACCATTTTCACTTACTACTGGGATGCTGCTGAACACACCCAACTGTACCATTTGGTGGCTCAGATAACAAGTTCATTAAAGGTAGCTCAGGTTGCATGGGTAATTGGGTTAGATTGTGTCCCTTCCCAAAAAGAGATACGTTGGAGTCCTAATCCTTAATATTTCAGAAAGTGACCTTCTTTGGAGATTGGGTCTTTACAGAAGAAGTCAGGTTCAAAAGTAGTCAGTAGGTTGGGCTCTAATTGAATGTGACTGGTGGGTGTCATTATAAGAAGGGAAAATTAGGACACAGAGACAGACATGCAGAGAGAGAAGATGGTCATCTGCAAGCCAAGGAGGGAAGCCTTACAGAAAACTAAAGCAATACTGCACCTACTAAAGCAAGTGCAGAGATTAGTATCACTATTTAAAAACTTGGAAGACATAAGAATGCTGGTTCCTTATCTTCTACTCAACTTATACTTAACTTTGCAGTTTAGCTGTGCAAAAGTAAAATGGATTACAGAAAAAGGTTATGGATAAATCTCAGCTGCCATTCTTCACTGAGTTGGGCGAAGAATGGGTAGGAGGGCCCGAATGAGATATATCCAAGTAGTCCAACACCATAGTACATATTATTTGCTAAATTGTCTCCTCATGAAGATTGGAAGTGTTCCTTTTATTCTTTTATCTTTCTCTTCCATCCTCTCTCCAGTGCCCGGTAAAATGCGTGGAACATATTGGTAGTCAGTAAGTGTTGATTGAATGAATAAAAATGATAAGATAAATGAAGAAAAAAGTAACATCAGATCTTTCTCTGTGTTCTTAGGGGCTGGACCCAGAGGCATGGAAAAAATGAAATATCACATGTGGAAAGACTGGAGATAGGGAAGATGGGGGTGTGTGGGGAGTGATGAACCAGTTGAACAGATTTTCCTGGTCCATGGCTCTGGAGGGTAGAACAAAGAACTACAAAGGTATTTATTTGCTCTCTCAATCAGTGGACACCTGCCCTGGCTGTAATCAGATAACTCTCTCCCACTCATCTGGAAATATCTTTTTGGTGCCCCAAGGCTAAACCTCATATCTCAACTTCTTTGGAGTCAAGATCAAAACTCTTTTATTCCAGGTTACCTTCAACACTGACACTATCTGTTTCTGTTCAATTTTCTCCTTTTCCTACCAACCATTGTTTGGAAGATTTTTCTGTTTGCATTCTAGGTAGAACTTATTTACAACAAAATTCATTTCTACCAAGAGATACATGGATGATCAACAGCTACCTGGATAATTCTATGGATTTAGATATATGGAAAGAAGAAATTTCAGGCCAAAGGAATAACTACACCCAAAGGCTGAGTGAGAAAGCTGGAGTGTCTTTAGGGAATATCTATTAGTTTACTTTCACCAGGATATAGGGTATTCTAGAATATTGGGAAATAAGGATCAGTCATAGATATGGTCCTCAAGTCTTAAATTCAATCTTCACTGTGTGGTAGGCAGCCAATGAAAGCTCTAGCCAAGGAAAAGAACTGAAGCAGGCTTGAACATCAGATGCAATGATCAGGCACTGGCACAAGCTAGATGAGAAAGGAAGAACTAGAGGTGGAATGAGAGTCAATAAACTCAATTTTGCAAAATTAATTTTGTGGGTGTTTCTCTCTGTGGTACTTGTCAAGAAAGAACTTAAATAATGTGGACATATACTTGTTAACATGCAACTCTTTAAAAACCATTGCTCAGCTGTGGGTGGGGGTGTCCTCCCTGCCCCAATTATCAGTAATAGCAATTAAAGAGCTCCTTTTACACTCAGCGTGCAGTAAAGGTCTTTTGCTACCTGTTGGGCCAGACACCAGCACAGGGGGAGGAGACTTTTGTGCTTCCTTTGTTGGTGTCCCTTAGATGTTTTGTGGGTTTTTTTAATTTGAAGAATTTGCTTGTATTAGCCCCTGACTTAAGAAATAATTATACGACTTTATGAGAAAATGTCTTCAAGATCCTTAGAATCAGATTCCCATGTGTGGTTGTGGCTATGATGACATCCCCTCATCAGCATTTTCCAAACTGTAAACATGTGGTAGATGTGATGGTGGTGATGTCTGTTTACAAGGCTGGAGTTAGATGTGGAGTGGAAGGGCTGGGCAGTGGTTGCTATAACTTAAGGAAAGAAATAACAAGAACCAGCAGAACATGGCGAAGGGCCCCAAACTAAACTAACAGTAGAGTTCTAATTTGCCATAGGAGGGGCCACCTATTCTCTTTTGAGTGATAGATCACATGATTGAAAGCCATATGTAAGAGGGCCTTCTGACTTTATTATATGCTATTTTATGAATAATAGTGATAAGGGGGAAAAGGAGTTCATGCTTAGTATTAGACTAAGGTGAAAAAATTTAATCTGTCATTTTTTAAAATTTTGGTGAAATATACGTTACATAAAATTTACCATCTTAACCATTTTAAGTGTACATTTACTTATTTTTTTATCCAGAGTAATTGAAAGTTTATAATGTAACTTAGTGGATGAAATAAACAGCTTAGAATTTTTCATTTAGGACTCTCTTTTTTCCTGGCAAGATGGTAGCATAAAGCTTGGCTCATCTCTTCGTACACTTTTTGGACTGGCATCTGGTTTTTGCCACTTCAGTTTCTCTTCTGAGATAGAGGAAGATATAGGAGACATAGGAGATAAGAAGATATAGATACCGAAGATGTGGGAGATATAAGAAAATAAAGGAGAAATAGGAGATAAGATATAGAAGATGTAGTAGATATAAGAAGATATAGGGAATAAAGGATGGGAAGGAATGACTACATGGGAAATTAGATCCTCTTAGTGACCCCACACAGGGGTCTGGCTGTTTATGCCAAGACTTCTCCAGTGAGACTCCTCATGCCTTGAGAAAAGAAAGGATAGTAGTAGTATTTCACAGAGAAACTAAACCAATTTCAGAGAAGTTTGGGGAGCCAGAAAGTACAAGACAAGTGCTGTTGCAAAGGGATGATCAGATGCTATTTAGCTCCGTGGCTGAAAAACATAGTTTTAGGTAGACGTATTTACACAGGCTCTGTAACATGTTTCTCA